GGGGGGGGGGGGGGGGGGGGGGGGAGATGGGGTCATTAGGGAAACGTACATAATTAGGAAGTTCCTCGTGGAATAAATCGATACGCGACACTTTCAAAAATATCATGCCCTCAAAGACTCAAGAAATACGGCAGCTTAAAATATAACACAATGAAAAAATGTTTAAATGTTTCAGGAAAAAATTGGTTTGAATCATTCAGTGGAGGTCATTAGGGAAACGTACATAATTAGGAAGTTCCTCGTGGACTAAATCGATACGCGACACTTTCAAAAATATCATGCCCCTCACAGACTCAAGAAATACGGCAGCTTAAAATATAACACAATGAAAAAATGTTTAAATGTTTCAGAAAAAAATTGGTCTGAATCATTCAGTGGGATAGCACATCATGCCTACCAAGAGTCCATGTTTTACTAAGGGGCCGACCATTCAACTTTTGAGGGGGGGGGGGTGATTTTGAAAAAAAATTTCCTGCAAGGCTATCCTGAACAAAAAAAATACCTGCACTAACAAACTGGGAAAAAATATATCCTGCCCCAGTATTTGGTGCAGGGATCGATTTTACCAGTCCGAGATTTGATTTTCAGGGACTAGTGTAAGGTTAATTTCTTGTTGGAAAACTCCTCAAAATGCTAGAAATAGCTTATCTGAGCTTCAAAAAATCCAAAATTTCCTGGGGTGGGGGGCATGCCACCAGACCCCTCTAGAGGCTCGCGCCTTCGGTGGTCGATTCAGTTGTCTCAGAGTCCTAGTTAAGTATGGCCTGAGCTGCTGCCCTATGGCGTATACTTATTAGTTAAACCATGCATATATATGCTGTAGGTAGCTGCAGTGATACAGACAGGGCTGTAGCGAGGAGGGGGGTATTGGGGGGTGGTTAACCCTCCAACATTTTTAGAATCAACATATTCAGAAAATCGGGTTGGCCATTCGGAAAATTATGGCAATAATAGTAGAACAAAATTTTAGTTGTTAAACAGAGAAAATATTATAAAATTGTATTGTCCGTATAAACGCTTTTTTCTGACCATCAGCATTCTGTCAAAACTTCCCCAAAGTCCAGCAAATGGCATTTCAAAGACATTTCTATGAAATAGCATTTCGAAATTTAAAAATTTCCTCGGCCCTCGCTTTCTGCCCCCAATAAACAAAAGCTCCCTACCGCACTGCTTCTGTAATATGTCTGTGCATAAATTATGCATATTTTTGTTAATTGTAAATTGCGTCTTCATTTTCCGAATAGCAAACACCTTCATGGCTAATAGTATGCCATGATATATTCGGAAATTATTTTCGTCATTCGGACATTTTTGGCCTACACCCCCCCCCCCCAACTATACATGCTAGCTACGGCCCTGGATACAGACTTGCCGACTGGAACTTCTCCAGGTCCCCCGCTAATTATGTCCTCTCCAGTTACACATCCTTAAAAAAGGCCCTGAACCAAATGTTATACCTCATAGCAATATGTATTATTAAGAGCAATGCATGAAGCGGAAAACTCAACGTTAACTATCATTAAAGAATCTAAATAGTATAAGCTATTGAAAAAAAAAATGCTGCGAAAGAAAGTGTGGAAAAAAAAATCGTACATGGTGATGGGATAAAAAAAATCTTGCACATAACGATCCCAGAAAATTCCCTGCCAGCAGTAAATCCCCCCCCCTCAAAAGTTAAATGGTCGGCCCCTAATCGAGTCCAGTCCATGTTTTACTACATGCCCTCTTATACACTAAAGTTGATGTTATTAAAATTACAATTTACAAAAAAACAGACAAGGAACTACATTTAGGCATGTTTTACTAATCGAGTCCATGTTTTACTAATCGAGTCCATGTTTTACTAATAGAGTCCATGTTTTACTAATAGAGTCCATGTTTTGCTAATCGAGTCCATGTTTTACTAATCGAGTCCATGTTTTACTAATCGAGTCCATGTTTTACTAATCGAGTCCATGTTTTACTAATCGAGTCCATGTTTTACTAATCGAGTCCATGTTTTACTAATAGAGTCCATGTTTTACTAATCGGGTCCATGTTTTACTAATAGAGTCCATGTTTTACTAATAGAGTCCATGTTTTACTAATAGAGTCCATGTTTTACTAATCGGGTCCAGTCCATGTTTTACTAATGAGTCCAGTCCATGTTTTACTACATGCCCTAAATTTCACTATAGCATATAATAACTCATAAAATAAGCAAATTACTTCATGGTTTGTTCGCTTGTACGACTTTTTTATGCACTCACTCGTTCGCTGCACTCACTCGTTCGTTTATAGGAATTTTTCACAACTCGTGCATAAAAATTGTATACGCGCTCACCAACCATGAAGTCCATGAAGTAATCTCTATTTAGTCCCACTTTAATTAATGTGATTTCAAGCTCCTTTTTCGATTTCTTATAAGTACCAGTAGAAATATTCGAGTCTAAATTTCGTTTAAATTTTAACCGTCGATTGACCATAAAATAGAAGATGAAATAGTTGGTAAGAATGTTCGTTTCATGTAAAAGATGGTTTGGATTACTTGCTGTCCACGCTGTCTTTTGATTATTTAAGTTGTTTCTCGATTCGTGCATATTAATTAGGATAAAACAGCATTTTAACCTCATTTTGTAAAATCTTTAATACTAAAAGACTTTTGAATGTTTGACACTTGCTAAGTTTAAATCACTAAGACGTTTCGGACGCAAAACGTCGAACTTCGTCGGTTAAAAATGATGGTAAACAAGACTACTAGCTGATTTGATAAAGACCAAATCGCGCTGCGACCTTTTGATCATGATAGCTTCCTGAAATACCTATCTAGAAGTGTTCTTTGGGTGAAATAAAATCTGATTTTTCGCAACTGTCTTTAGTTTCTCGACCGACAAAGACATACGGTATGCTCTTGATACCAAACCTTGAGCAAGCGTGGGCATAGCTCTGGAGAAATCGAATTAATTGGCATTGCATTTCCAACGTTAGTTGTGCGCATGCTCGGCAATTGTTGCAAAATATAAACAAAGTATTTAAAATTTCTCGTCAAAAATTTGATACTTTTTACACAGAAAATCTTTCGTATGCGTTTAATTAACTACAATATTTCGCACATGCGCAGACTAAAAACTGTCACACTAAACTTTTTTATGGTTTATAACATAGTAGTTAGCTGCGCATGCGCAGGCTAACCACAAAAACAACTCAGTGTGGCCGAAGCGGCCACTTGGCTCGATCGCTTCCAACTAGTTTTAAGGTTATGCCATCAATTGTTTTTAATAATTTTTTTTTTTAAAAAGTGTGGCCGAATCACTGATCTGAATTAAGACTGGATAAAGCATCCTATTGAATTCGGTAATCCAATTTTGAAGCCAGAATATTTTAATAAGTTGAGATTTATAAATCATTCAAATTCATGGCCAGTCTAATCGTTTGCTGTTTAATTAAGTTTAGTTAGACTATAAAGCAAATATCATCGCCTATGCGACTTGTGAAATATAGCTTCCAAAACATCGAAAGCTTTTTTCAAGTGATACAAGAATATTTAAATAATTCATACGTAATAAAACAGTAAATCATAGTTTATATAAAATACATCACTGGGTATAGTAGGTTATTCAATTGTTTGAATGATACTTAAGGAAAACTGCTCTTCGGCATTTTGAGAAAAGATTCTTTGTAAAAAAAAATCATTTCAAGTACACACGTAAAAATGCACAGCTTGTTACAAGTCTGTTCACAAGTTGTGTTTGCACTGCTTGTTCCCAGTTTGTTGTAACAAGTTTGAAACAGGCTGTTAACAACTTGTAACAAGCTTGATGGCATTATCAGCCTTGTTACAAGATTGTGCTAACAAGTTTGTTACAGCCATGATATAACAAGGATGTTACAAGGTTGTCAACACAAGGTTGTAACAATCTTGTTATAAAACATGTAACGGACTTGTCAGAACAACCTTGAAACATGTCTGATAATTTCTACAAGGTTGTTACAAGTTGTCAACACATTGTTCCTAACCTGTTGACAACTTGTGACAAGCAGTGCCAATACATTTGTTGACGGCTTGTTGGCAGACTTGTTACAAGATGTGAGATTTTTAAGTGTGTAGTTGAATAAACTACTATAACCAAGAATGAAGGAAATTAATGCAAACTAACATGATAATGACTGGTTTCTGGTTTGTAATTCCTGTATCTCCAATTGCAGCTTGTTGTTTCGCAACTCCAAATTCTCCACTTCCAGCTCAATTTTGTATTTCTCCATCCTTAGCACGTCTATTTGCATAGATTGGATATTTGGACATCTTGCTGGGTGATTTTTCGCTTTTTTGAACTGGAAGAGGCATCCTTTGACTTGGCAGAACTATTAGGTGTCACTGTAGGCTCTGGCATTGTTACCTGTATTGTTACTTCATCATTCTCTGTGGTTTCATCTGGTTCCAGCAAACTGTCCTCCAAGTCTGGCTCTGGCATAAACATTTCCATTGCTGGTATTGGCCCTGCTGGGAACAAATCTGTGTCAGATGCAAAACCAGTTCCTTAAAACATGGACTACACCAAAATCCCATTGAATGATTAGATATCAAAAATACACGTACACATATGTCATTTTATCATATCGAAATTCTGCCATATCTAAACTAATAAAAAAACTAAATTATAACAGTGGCTTACTACATATAAACTTGTTTTAAATTTATATTAATATTGTAAAAACTTTCCAAATTTTATCAGAATATATATTTCTTTCGTGCAAAATAACTAATAACATATTGAATTTAAATTGTACTTATCTCAGATAAGATCATAGCAGCATTGATACTTTTTCAAAAACTAAACTATCAATTCTTGTGCAAAGTGTACACCAAAGGCAAATAAAAATAATGCAATGTTCACCGACAAAATTGAATAAAACTTCGCCACTTTGAACAACAATTTTTGTTGCGCATGAGCAATTTGACACTCACCTGACTCCATGCCACCTTGTATACCTGAAAACCCCGGTTCATCTCCAAATAACTTTATTATTCTCTGCGAGGTGGCTTTCGGCGGCGGCAGTGGCTTTCCTCCCCCTGTTTTCCCAATGGAGCTTCTTTCCCGGCTCATTTCTTTTCTTGCTGCACCACACATAGCTCGCCATTTGTCTTTCACGTCCGTTGTTGAACGCTTTGCCACGCCTAGAGCATTGACCCTATCGCTTACTGACTGCCAAACGGCTTGTTTTTTTTGTTCGTCAGTGTGCTGGAAAATTTTTCCCTCATTGTTTCGAGGTTTTCCTCGGCTAACTGCAATATTAAACTGCATTCAGCTGGGGAAAAATTTGCCTTTCTCGCGCGTTTGCAGCTCTCCATTTTGTTTTTCCCGCCTAAACTACACGCAGCAAATTAGTTGAAAAAAACGGTTTTGTCCGGTTAAGCTAACCTTATCCGGCGGTTAGTTAAACGCGGTACTAAACAGGCTTCGTACAACGTATTTTAATCGCCCGTTTAACTAAACGCTGGATAAGAATTTTATACGCCGGATAGCGGCTAAACACCGTTTAAGTTACGTCTTTCGTACAACTGGCCCCAGATCTATAAGATCCCACCTTCCATCATGTAAACATGCAGCCCAGAGTATGCCCGCTCACAGCCGGGTTAGGTGCTGGGCATGACCTAACTTGCGAACGGGCATACTCTGGGTACGAGATTGCTAATACGCCTGTTCAGGATGCAGGAAAAGACCGAAAAGTGCAATTTGAATATCAAACACCTTGCACAAAGTCGAAGGTCAGCTAAATATTCTAATTCTACTTTCTTGGTAATATATAATTATACTGTTAATGGTGAAGCTAGCCATTATTAAACTAAACTCTACATGTCCAATGATTCATTCAAGTATTAGATATTGTTCATATATGTGACAATATGACATTGTACAGAGTTCAGTGGCAGTAGTAATATAGAGGCCGTTCGACCCGGATTTTTGCGGCGGTGGAGTGCGGCGGTGGAGTGTGGAGTGTGGAGGGTAATTAGTATTCCAATACGTCATAATTATATGCAATGACGTCACGCGGGCAGGTTTAAACACGATCGGGCGAAACTTGCTGACTACGCATTTTTTAGCGTCCCTCCACGTGTGTGATACAATAGTTAGGTATATATAGAAAAGAACATGTTGTTGTCTGGAGTTTTATAAGTACAGCTCTAGCATTTTGCTGTTATTGTCAAAACGCTGAGAAATAGCATTAGTGTTATATATCTAAAACTTATATATTCGGGGTATACAGCTATATGTTTTGTTGTTAAGTAATATATATTATCAAGCGTCAAAACGCTGAGAAATAGCATGCGGTAAAGAGTTATGTATCTACAATTAAACTAATATTTAAATCCCGGTCTGCCATATGAGGTCTATATACGAGAGAATATGTTGCTGTTTAGAGTTATATTAACACATGGAAATTAGAGATTATGATATATAATTTTCAAGCGATTTCTATATTTTATTGCTAGTTGTTTAAAGTACTAAAACTCGGATAAGGTTAATAAATTTAGGCTATATTAAAGCACACCGGTTGCTATGTGTTGTTAGGGTGACACTAATTAAAGGATTAACTTTTATCAGAGATTTGCATTTTTCTATTGTGTGGATAAATACGGGTAGATTAGGATATTCATTGCGCGGGCGTCGCGGGTTATCCGTGCGGGAAGAGAGAAAGCGATTTAGACAAGACAGGAGCGCTTTGCAGCCAAAACTTGAAAGACTGTGTGGAATCCTGTAATGGTTGTCAAGTCGGTCATCCTAGTCAAAGACAACATGACTGCCTCATGATGAACGAAAACGAACGAGGGCAAATAAGGAATCTATTCGTCACAAAAGTCATATTTTAAACATATTTTAGATATATTTTAAACAGTTTCTAATCCCGAGTTGTCAACGTCGTTGTTAAGGTCAATATTTACATGTTGTTCAACGTTATTTTAGCAAATATTCTACATACATATATACTGTTAAGATGACCGAGTCAGATCATAAGTAAGCTTATCAAGAATATAAGTTAGAATTGGAACAGTTGTAATATATTTTGCAATAAAAACATGTAATCGTTATATACGTTGTTATGTGTTGCTAAGTCATTAGCGACGCTTGCGTGCATGCATATATTAACGTACAACATATTTGTACACTAATCAGGCGGGCGGATCGCGCGGGCGGAAAGAGCGGGCTTTGCCGGCAAAAATTTACCCCATATTTCAGTTTTTAAATTTATTTCTTCAAAACGTTTTACAAAATTTAGTACGGTCTACTTCTAAGAGCATAACGTTTAGGAGTTTTTGTTATTTTTAAAGAGTTTTCATATTCTTGTCTATCTTCTGGAGATAACCTTGCAACATCTTCATTCTTCATTGGAATATATTTCGGCCTCTCGCGAAGTAATCTTTGTTCGTAACCTTCTCTTTGTTCAGGGATCATCATTGCCAAATCTTGGGGCCTCCAATCTGTAGAGTCTACCCAATTGTGGAAAAAGTTGCGCTTGAGTTTTGGCTGTTCCTCTTCTGTTGGTGGTGGTGTAAGGAAATTAGGTTTAGGTGTAGCAGGCACTCGTGGTGCTATCTCAGCAAATTCATTGGGTGGTGGTATTTCTGCAGGCACTAGTGGAGTTGTCTGAATAGGCGCTTGAGCTTGGACATCCATCTTATTTTTGAATGTGAGAAACCGATTTAGTTGATCCGAATATAATTTGCTTTTTTCCACTACGCTAAGCTGGGGTGCATCCATGATTTCTTTCATTCTCTGTTCGGCATCATACATGGAGTTTGCAAGTGGTGGTTGACGATACGACTGTTTTTGTATAAACTTTGCAATCTCTCCGGGAAGTACGTTTGTCTTGAGTCGATCTTGGTCACTCGTTGTCGGCTTTAAATCCAACATCAAATATCCGTGAGGCCGGCTCGTAGCATCTTCATAACTCCTCATAAACTCCTGTACTTTGCCGGGATTTATTTGCCTTGCAAGTATAGAAATTTGTTGTTTATCTCTGGTGACTTGAACAATACGATATAATGCGCGTTTAGACTAATATTTCTCATTTCTTTGCCCTGATGAAATATATTTTGGACAATATAGATGACAGACAAATTTCGATGATGACTTCCTTTCGTAAAAAGATCGGAAATACGTTTATCTTTGCCAGATTGAGCCATAAGATCATCCAATACGATCAAATTCCGTTGCGATACGTCCAAGTAATCCGCATTGTCGATATCGTCGGGGATGCCTTCATTAAACTCGATTCCAGGCATTATCCTCATCATATCAAAATAGGACGGTTGCCATTGACCATAACACCAAATGATACGTTGAGGAGTAGGACTTATAGTCGTTTGAGCATTCTCCAAGAGAGATTTCACCCATACGGTTTTGCCGCTTTGGGTATATCCTGCAACGATACATGTAAAGGGATGCTGCATGACTGTAACCCCATTCACCGTGAGAGTTTGCTGCCCAAGATTAGGAGATCCATATGCATGGACAACCTTCTTGTGGCGAAGGAGATTACTCGCATTTGCAAACGTTTTACCGCAGATGTCGCATTTATAAGGCATGTTTATTTCTCAAGAGTCAGTGTAAAATGATTTAAAGCAAGAGTGAAGAGGTGTATTTATCCCGTTGGTTATTGTCGCGTCTATGAAGACTATTGTAAATACTATGAAAGACTATAGTCCTGACTATGAAAGACCATAGTCGTGACTATGAAAGACTATAGTCCTGACTATGAAAGACTATAGTCCTAACTATGAAAGACTATAGTCCTGACTATGAAAGACTACAGTCCTAACTATGAAAGACTATAGTCCTAACTATGAAAGACTATAGTCCTAACTATGAAAGACTATAGTCCTGACTATGAAAGACTATAGTCCTGACTACAAAAGACTACAGTAAAGACTATGAAAGACTATAGTCCTGACTATGAAAGACTATAGTCATGACTACGAAGACTATAGTAAAGACTGTGAAAGACTATAGTCCTGATTATGAAAGACTATAGTAAAGACTATGAAAGACTATAGTAAAGACTATGAAAGACTATAGTCCTGACTATGAAAGACTATAGTCCTAACTATGAAAGACTATAGTCCTGACTATGAAAGACTATAATCCTGACTATGAAAGACTGTAGTCCTGACTATGAAAGACTATAGTCATGACTACGAAGACTATAGTAAAGACTGTGAAAGACTATAGTCCTGACTATGAAAGACTATAGTAAAGACTATGAAAGACTATAGGCCTGACTATGAAAGACTATAGTCCTAACTATGAAAGACTATAGTCCTGACTATGAAAGACTGTAGTCCTGACTATGAAAGACTATAGTCATAACTACGAAGACTATAGTAAAGACTGTGAAAGACTATAGTCCTGACTATGAAAGACTATAGTCCTGACTATGAAAGACTATAGTAAAGACTATGAAAGACTATAGGCCTGACTATGAAAGACTATAGTCCTGACTATGAAAGACTATAGTAAAGACTATGAAAGACTATAGTAAAGACTATGAAAGACTATAGTAAAGACTATGAAGACTATTGTCTAGACCTAATCTATAGAGGGCGAGCCGATCCTTATATATGTGTTATTTCCAACTAAATCTTCATTCCGTTGCTGACCGCCGAACAGAGATGACTAGCAGTTATATGAAACACAGACCATTTGTAGAACTCTTATGTACTTCTCATCCAATTCTACATCAGCTGAGCAAATTCGATGCTTGTGTCATTGTATAGAAAATTTCACATACTCTAAAGAAACAAAGGACAAACTCAGACCTTTCGAACAAGATCTAGCTGATTTGGCAGACAGAGATAGAAATTTTAAGACGAAAAAGGAAATTCTTGTTCAGCGGGGTAGCGGCTTTCTGGGATTGGTACTTGGACCACTTTTAGAAGGCTTTGCAGAATTAATATAAAATAAAAAGTATGAAGGACATCTCCTCATTCCAACATGGATAGCGACAAACGATCATCTCCTGAACAGTGGAGACTTGAAGACATTCTCAAATATCTTGACGTTGATGATGAACACGAAGCCGAAGATATCCTTCATTCTATTTTAACCTCTACGGGGATTTTGACTTGGAATGGAAAAGGAGAAATCGTTTACAGAGGACATAATATACGAGGCACTGACATTGTAGACCTTCTGAAATATTGCGTGACGCCTTATCATCCAGATATTCCCGAACCAATTGGATTGAGTATTTTTATAAAAGGTCTTGCAGAATTGGAAATTGATAAAAGCCTAATCTTAAATGGACATGTCCTTTCTGTGTTAGCCCACAAGTGGTCCCGTCAGGATACACAATCTGATGCTGACGCAACTTGTAACAGTTGCAACAAAGATATATACATCTCCCATTTGAGTACGTGCCCCGTATGCACATGGACAGATTTTTATCCGAATTGTAAAAACTGTCGCTGTATGATCTGTGATTTTCAAGTGTCCAAAGGAGATTTTACACATGTATTCGCCAGCTGTCCACATTGTCGCCGAGGTGAAATTATAGATATCAGAACGGATGAAAGGCAGTCCTTTAACCGTAAAATAGGCGACCAAAGTGATATTTGATTAGTTGACTGCGTGAAGTTGAACTGAACACATCAACATGCCGAGAGGTACACTTGTTGTAGACGAAAAACTACTGAGAGACCATTTCTTGAGACAGCAGCGTGGCGGAAACATCGCTGGGTATCGTGGTGCACGTTTTCAAAGAGGATACGGGATCGGAAGTATTTTCAAGAGCCTTGCGAGATATGCTATCCCTCTGTTCAAACAAGGCGCTAAAGTTGTTGGCAAAAGAGCATTGCAAGCAGCCACAAAAGTTGGTCAAGATGTACTCCAAGGAAAAAATGTAAGAGAATCTGTAAAGACTCACGGAGGTGACGTTGTTAAAGACTTTGCCGAACAAGGAGCAAAAGCCCTACTACAACAAGCAGGGCGCGGAAGCAAGAGAAGGCAAGGCCAACGAAGTAATTTATCAACTACAAAGAGGTTAAAACTGTGTTCTCATATAACAGTCCCAAGACATACCAAATGGATTACGGAAGATGAAAGCAGCCACGATGATGAAAGCGGCTATGATGAAGAATCTGATAGCGAAACCCCTGAAACAAGTAACGATATATATTAGAAGCATAATTTTGTAAAACGTTTTGAAGAAATAAATGTATTTAAAAACTGAAATATTGTGTAGTTTTTGCCGGCAAAGCCCGCTCTTTCCGCCCGCGCGATCCGCCCGCCTGATTAGTGTACAAATATGTTGTACGTTAATATATGCATGCACGCAAGCGTCGCTAATGACTTAGCAACAAATAACAACGTATATAACGATTACATGTTTTTATTGCAAAATATATTACAACTGTTCCAATTCTAACTTATATTCTTGATAAGCTTACTTATGATCTGACTCGGTCATCTTAACAGTATATATGTATGTAGAATATTTGCTAAAATAACGTTGAACAACATGTAAATATTGACCTTAACAACGACGTTGACAACTCGGGATTAGAAACTGTTTAGTTTAAACGCGACGCCCGCGCCGCGATGCCCGCGCAATGAATATCCTAATCTACCCGTATTTATCCACACAGTAGAAAAATGCAAATCTCTGATAAAAGTTAATCCTTTAATTAGTGTCACCCTAACAACACATAGCAACCGGTGTGCTTTAATATAGCCTAAATTTATTAACCTTATCCGAGTTTTAGTACTTTAAACAACTAGCAATAAAATATAGAAATCGCTTGAAAATTATATATCATAATCTCTAATTTCCATGTGTTAATATAACTCTAAACAGCAACATATTCTCTCGTATATAGACCTCATATGGCAGACCGGGATTTAAATATTAGTTTAATTGTAGATACATAATAACTCTTACCGCATGCTATTTCTCAGCGTTTTGACGCTTGATAATATTAATATATAACTTAACAACAAAACATATAGCTGTATACCCCGAATATATAAGTTTTAGATATATAACACTAATGCTATTTCTCAGCGTTTTGACAATAACAGCAAAATGCTAGAGCTGTACTTATAAAACTCCAGACAACAACATGTTCTCTTTTATATATACCTAACTATTGTATCACACACGTGGAGGGACGCTAAAAAATGCGTAGTCAGCAAGTTTCGCCCGATCGTGTTTAAACCTGCCCGCGTGACGTCATTGCATATAATTATGACGTGTTGGAATACTAATTACCCTCCACACTCCACACTCCACCGCCGCACTCCACCGCCGCAAAAATCCGGGTCGAACGGCCTCTATATTACTACTAGTGGCAAGCTAGCCATGGCAACTGGTCATGCTATGCTAATAAACCTGCATCATTTGGATAATGCAAATCATTAAAAACTTGCATAACATGACTTGTTGCCATAACAATTTCATATACCTTACTTGTATTAAAATTTGCGCAATACTAGAATTCGCGCAGCGCTGGGAGAATTATCCTACTCTTTCACGAATGCTAAGCGGCAATGAGCGGCAACAAGTATCTGTTTTGTAAAGAGCGAGAGACTGCTAGTGATGGGCAATTCCAACTGTTTTAGTTCGATAAAATACTGGCCGGATATTTCCCTTTTTTGGATATCGAAATTTGTGCAAAATATCAAAGACAAACAATGTTCAATAATGGTATTGACTATTGTTTCATTCACTGTCTTCCGACGCTAATAACCGTTGCACCCCGGGGTTGAACTCAGCCCTGTTTACCGGCGGGTTGAAATTTAGCCTTGTCTGCAATACAAAACTCTATCAAAATCAAACGCGCGATTACATGACAAAATTTGCAACCCAGTGCTGAGTTCAACCCCGGGGTTGAAATTTCAACCCCGGGGTTGAAATTTCAACCCTGCTTCATCTAGCAGGGTTGAAATTTCAACCCCAGGGTTGAACTCAGCACTGGGTTGAAAATTTTGTCATGTAATCGTTTCAACCAAGGGCTGAAATTATAATGAGATATTCGAGCATGCGTGGTAGTGACAATTTATTACAAGTAAACAAAATAAAGGCTTTTTTACTTCCGCGAATCGATGCCGAGAACATATAGTATAACGCTTTAACCCCGAGGTTGAAATCGTCTATGTAATCGCAAAAAAATTCAACCCGGTTAACAGGGCTGAGTTCAACCCCGGGGTTGAAAATACTCCATGTAATCGGCTCCTTAATAGCCAAAGTCAGATAAGATTGACAGCTCTGTATGTACAAATATACCAAATATAGACTATCGTTCTTTAGTTGTTTTTATCGACTCTGGTGGAAAAAGCGGGAAATTGATTTGGTAAACAAGTTCTCTCACTTCCCATTTGCGAAACATCACTTAGGTTATCGATAAACAATTCCTCAGATTCAGTTAAATTTCCTTAAAGTGTATATGACATGATTTTTTTTATTTTCTTAAACGAAAGAACTCTTTAAGCTGTAGTGCAACTTATTTTTCAGTTTCTTGTTTTCATGGTTTGTTCCCGAGATATTTCAATTTGTTTGGTATGTAAATGAGTGTGAATATGTCCGCTAATTTATGACGTCACGTTGGTTGCAAGCTCAACTTATACTGGTCATAAATCTAATAAATCTAAAAACTGTAGATATCAGTTCACGTTTTTCTCCAGTATTTTATCACATTTACCAGTGAGTGAAGTTAGAAATTATTATCTTGGATGATAACCGTGATATTCAACCATTTTGAAGAGCTTGCAACCAACGTGACGTCATAAATTAGCGACATATTCACACTCATTTACATACCAAACAAATTGAAATATCTTGGGAACAAAGCATAAAAGCAAGAAACTGAAAAATAAGTTACACTACAGCTTAAAGATTTCTTTCATTTAAATTTTCATTTCTTAAAGTAGATGATAAGGACATTATATCTTAAAGTAGATGATAAGGACACCTATACATTTAATTTCCAAATTGTTGATGTTTGTGCAGTTTTTCACATGTTGCTTTCAATTTCCACTTCAAAAGCTACCGGACTCGACAAAATTCCATCCAAGATTTTAAAAATTGCTGCTCCGGTTATTACTCAATCTCTAACAAATCTATTTAATTATTCGATTGAAACAGAAACGTTTCCCACGGAGTGGAAAGTTGCCAAAATTATTCCCTTGCATAAAACTGGTCCAAAAAATTTAGCCGATAATTATCGTCCTATTTCGATTTTGTCAGCAATTGGCAAAATCTTTGAAAAAGTCCTTCATGAACATTTATTTACTTATTTAAACAACAATAATTTAATTTCCAAACATCAGTTTGGCTTTAGACTATGCAATGCACTCAACAGCGGATGCAATGCTGCATTCCACTAACGAATGGTATAGAAACATGGACGATGGTATGCTTAATATTACGGTTTTCCTTGATCTAAAAAAAGCCTTCGACACTGAAATTTTAACTGCAAAACTTGGTTTCTACGGTATGCAATCATCCGCCATAAATCTTATTAGCTCATATTTAGGGAATCGTTCCCAAATGATGTTATGTAAATGAGGTGTTATGTAAATGTGTCTATCCAAACCTCAAATAATAGATTATGGAGTCCCCAAGGTTCTATTTTAGGACCTCTTCTTTTCTTAATTTACATAAACGATTTGCCAAATTGTATTGAGAAATCAACAGTAAGAATGTTTGCAGCTGACACTACTCTTACTGCCTCTGGTATAGTAGTACCCGAAATTGAATCCAAAATTAATCATGACTTGAACAATGTTCACAAATGGCTTTTAGCAAACAAATTATGGCCAGGGATGCCGGAAGATCGATAATTGGGGGTGCAGATATTCATATATTCCTGTTCTGCCCAATTAATTTCTTTTGAAATCGATTGTTTTTACAGTCTGTGAACACGAATATATGAATATCTGCCCCTGCTATTATCGATCTTTCAGCATCCCTGATTATGCCTAAATCTTATCAAAACTGAATATCTAATAATTGCAAACAAACATAAGATTAGCAAACTTACAATTAATGATCCTGTCATTCAGATAGTCAACAGACCTGTAAATCGAGTGACAACCAAAAAGTCTTTAGGTATCGTAATCGAAGATATATCTATTATGGGACAACTATCTGGATGAAGTATGTAAAAAAGTGTCGTCAGGTATTGGAGCGATTGGGAGGCTCAAACCATATGTTACTCGTGAGACACTTGTATCTGTTTATCATGCTTTGGTTCAACCATATTTTGATTACTGCTGCCTTGTGTGGGAGCCAATTGGTGCCGCACTTTCAAACAGACTTCAGTCACTTCAAAATAGAGCGGCCATGGTCATATTAGGATATGGAAACAAGCATGGCCAATCGGAAGCCGCCTTCAATGAGCTTCAATGGAAAACGTTAGTGCAACGTAGACTTGTCCTGAAAGCCAGACTCATCACTCATGTATAAAATAATCCATGGGCAAGCACCTGCTATTCTAATCGAATCATTTCAAAATCCAATTGCTCCTCAACATAATCACAATTTACGGAACTCGGATCTCCCAATAGCCTGCGAACAGACTCTCAAGCTGAGTGAGAGCCTGCATCGATGACTAATGAATCTGAATATCTGCCCCGTAACGTTCGTTTTTCCAAATATGGAATGTCTGTCCTTATTTGGAGTTGTTTACAGCTTTCGTGCAAACTAAATTTAGACCGTGCAAACTAAATTTAGACCGTACAGTTCATACTGTTTTTCGAAATATAAGATATTAAAGCAAAAGTTCAAATGTTTTAAATACTGTTTTCTTAAAACAGAACATTTCGTGCTTTGAGATAAGACGGCCAAGACCAATTTGATCAGTTAATGTGCTTTTTATGCATAGTGCTTCAGCAGTTGACATATATAGAGCTCAGCGGAAACATATAAATTATAGCATCTGACCAATGAGAATTTCGCGTCACGATTTGAGACGCAGATATTCAAATTCATTAGTCATCGATGCAGGCTCTCAATTCAGCTTGAGAGCCTGTTCGCAGGCTAATCTCCCAAAACCTAAAACTGAGTATATGAAAAAAAGTATTAGTTATAGTGGTGCAAAGCTCTGGAATAATCTACCATCCGAAGTTAAAAATTCCGTATCGATAAATACCTTTAATTCTTTAATTTCCGACGTTAGTTTGTCCTAATATATACTCATAGCTCATATAATAATATATACACTAGTTCATATAATTTAAACATCTACTGAGTTTATTGTCTTTATTTGTATTATGTATATAGTTTTTTTTTTAATATTGTCACACCCCCCCCCCCCACCTCCACCACCACTTACGCGTAACTAACCGTTTGAAAGAGTGCATAATTTTGTACAACATACGAAATTTAGTGTAGAATAGCGGGCAAGATTTTTAAAAATTAACATGCAATTCTTGACAGCGCATATATAATTGACTTATATATTGTATGACGCGCTAAATGCAATTCTGTTTGAGGCGGATTTTCTCTAGTTTATGGCGCTGCACCACTTACGTGTAAGGAAGTGGTTGAAGGAGTATGTAATTTTATGCAACATACGAAAGTTTAAAAAAATTCTGTAAAATAGCGAGCGAGATAATTACATCTTAACGTACTGGGGCCGGTTGTATAAAACTCTTAATCACTTCTTTAATCACTATTTTGTAGTTAAATAGTGATTAACTCTCAAATAGGCGCTTCTTATTGGATGACTTTTGCACTTAACTATGATTAACTTTAATCACTTTTTTATACAACCGGCCCCAGTTCTTGAAAGCACGCATAATTAGTTTATTATATGACGCGCGGAATACATTCCTGTTTGAGACCGATTTTCGGTAGTTTCCTGGCTTGCACCACTTACGTTTAAACAACGGATTGACAGAACATTTAATTTAGTACAGCATACCAAAGTCTAAAAAAATTCTATAGAATAGCGAGCAAGATATTTAGAACAGGGGTCTTCAAACCATGGGTCGCGACCCAAAATTGGGTCTCTAGCACACCCTCGAAGGTCGCAAGGCTTGTCTTGGGTCGCATGGGTCGCAATGCTTGTCTAGGGTCGCGAACTTACACTAGTAAACTTTACAAGACGAGAGATCAAGTGATAAGATGCACATATTTACATATGAATATTTCCTTGCGAAATTTGCGATTATAATTAATGTTTTTTCACGATTATTATGCGCTAGATTGCTAGAATAATATGGTAAACAGGTAAACTGGTAAAGCTTTAGATATAATACCTTTTACTTCATGTAACTCAAACATTATGGCTTAGCACCACTCGGCGCGCCTGCGGCGCACGTCGTCTTCCGAAGTAGAGTCGTCGTCATACACTCGGAAGCTTTCGGTGAAAAGCCATAATGTTTTTAATTATCGAAAGTTTTATTGGCAGTGTTCAGGGTCGCGGGACACCTATGAAGCTTGGGTTTGGGTCGCCGAAAAAAAGGGGTGAAGACCCCTGATTTAGAAGTTATAACAGGCAATTTTTGTCAACGCAAATATATAATTGATTTACCTGCCTCGTACCCAGGCGTTTCTTTGTAAAAAAAAACTGTGATGCGCATAGGACGAGTTTACATGAAGTATTGTAGTGGGGATAGATGGGCGAAGGGGCTGATGGGAAGAGTGCACTTGAACTGCGAGACAGGTTTAATCGCGATGACACGTGCCAAATATAATTCAGTTTGAGACGGATTTTGACAAGTTTTCAGGCTTGCACCACTTACATGTAAGTAATCAGTTGAAAGAGTAGATAATTTTAAACCACATATGAAAGTTTGAAAATATTTTATAGAATAGCGGGAAGATAATTACAACTTAACATGCAGTATTGAAATCTGAGGCCCTTCGTCAAGAGTTAGTAGCCACTAACTCTTGACGAAGGGCCTTCGCTCGAAACGTCGAGTTTCTGCTTATTTTTAAGGTAGTCATATCACACTCAGCACAGCATTTTCACATTGGTACTACTTGCACTGGTACAGACAGTTTTTGTTATTGAAAGCGCATATTATAATAATTCACTCACAGCATTATGACACGCATAGTACATTCCTGTTTGAGACGGATTTTCGTTAGTTTGCACGTTCGCACCACATACGTGTGAAAGAGCATTCAATTTGTATAACATACGAAAGTTTGAAAAAATTCCATAGAATAGGGGGCGAGATATTTACAACTTAACAGGAAGTTCTTGAGAGCGCATATATAATTGGCTTATTATATGAAACGTACGTGCAATACATTACTGTTTGAGACGGAATTTCGCTAGTTTGCAGGCTGGCACCACTTACGCGTAAATAACCGATTGAAAGAGCATTTAATTTTATACAATATACGAAAGTTTAAAAAATTTTGCAAGCACTGCGACAATGGATGAGTTGCCGGTTCGCAGGCCCCCTTTGTTTTGCGCGGCCAATTGCCCCCTGGCGATCCCATAATACATTGTATTATTTGCAAATGCAATGTATTATGGGATCGCCAGGGGGCAATTAGCCGCGAAAAACAAAGGGGGTCTGCGAACCGGCAACTCATCCATTTTTGACAGTTTTTTAGTGTAGGCTATGTTTGGCACCTGGGGTAATTTTTAATAAAATGTCTTTTTGGACTGCGTTGAGGCAAGTTTGTTGGTTTTTGTGCAGAAAATCATTATGGTACTGATTATTTAATAATAACTGCATGTTTTCTTTGTTTGTAATCCATATGGGTGAGGAGAAATGGCCATATTTTCAATTTTACTTCTGAGTGATTGAAATGAGTAAGTTCACAGCGGGAGTCTGTTTGAATGTCATGTTGAATGTTATTTTGAATATCATGTTGAATCTCGTGTTGAATGTCATGCGTACTTCACTTTGGTTATTTGTTGATTGTAGTTTAAAATTTGTACCAAAGGATCCTACGATTTGTGATCGACAGTCAAATACTGTTCGTTTTCTCGAGCGTTGTAAAGAAAGTTGATTGAAATTATTATGTTGTCATTGGTCGTTTGCTGTGGTTTAATATTCTCCTTCGTGTCTGCCAGCTCCAACAACCAGTCATCGAATGAGAGAATTCATATCAGTACAGCGTTGCCTGCCATGTCGAATTTTTCGTCGAACGCAAGTACTGGTTCTAAACCTTGTATTTTGGAGATGAAACACAGTGAAATATCGCAAATCGTTGAAATTTTTAACAATGATCTTGTTCATGTAGTGGATATTTCTGTTTCTTTATCTAATGTCAGTCATGGCAAAGAGCTCTTATCTGATTTTCATGTTCAATTAATGAACCCTATCGGTCGAGAAATTATATTTGCTTTAGACTCTAATGTCCTCAAGTTCAAGACCCTTCCATGGACTTTGACAGTTGGCATAAGAGACTTTGAAATGCATGTCCTAGAAAGCCAGAATGATTGCATTAGAAACAGGACAAATGCCACAGAATTCGCATTGGAAACTGTTCAAAATATTGTTCGCACCATTAACTTGGCCACAAACTACGATGTTTGGTATTCATTTAAGGAAATTTCATCTGGAGAAGAACGCAAAAATTGCTGTCACGTCACAAAACTCAATCTGCTTGAATGCAATGATGGTTGTTCCAAAAGCAATTCATTTCTTTCCCAGAATACTACATTTTGGGAAGGTTTATTCCTCATTCTAATCTTAGTAGTTCCATTATGTCTTACTTCGTTAATCTTTAATTTGGCGTCTCGTTCTGATTTTAATGTAAAATATTCAAAATGCTACAAACTGGAGGAAAGCAGGATGTCGTCATCTTTTATTTTCTTTAAAATCATTTGGCAGGAAAATGGTCGCCTAATTGCATGTATTCGTACTTGTCTATTAATGTTTGTCTTGGCCGGTTTCTGGTTTCTTTGGACACCAAATTTTCTTGTTATTTATGTGCATGCTGGCATCGCAGTGTTGCATGTAACTTGCTGTTTGTTACCTGTTGAGAGTACCATTTCCTATTCAATGCAAAAAGATAGACGCATTAAATTTTTCTTTGAATTTCCCGGCAATATTCTTGTATGGTGTGGTTACGACGCCGCAGAGTTACGGGAAGAACTTGAAAGTTGTGAAACCATTGTTATGATTAAAATGTTAACTTTACTATGTAACATAAAATTTTGGAGAAAGGCAAGTAAAACTGTGAAGCAAAAGATCGCAACTTTTACCGCCAAACATACAAAGTTCAACAATCGTGCACTTAAATTTTTGGCCGTGTGCCTGTGTTATGCTTTTGCAGTATTCATTTATTTCTTTTTGGTCTTTATTCTACCTTTTTATTCTATACTTGTAGTTTTTCTTTGTTTACTATACACCCGACTTTTACTGGTATCATCAAGTTCTGACCTCAAATCTTGCTGTGGATGTCTTTTGTGGTATGTTTTCCTAATTTTGTCGCTTGGTTTATATCTTTTTTGGACTATCGTTCTGATACCGAAGGCGACAGTGTCGTTGCTTTTTGGATTGTTTCTAAACTTAATTTTCTTCATTCCTTATTTGGCATTCGTCTCTGTCCTAACATTCTACTGTATAAGTTACTGGAAGTCAATGGAAGAGAATTACTTGCTGTTAAAACAACAAATATACGAAGCTTGTCGAGACGCGCAAGACGATGATAATGTCTGCATACCAAACAAACGTCCCAAACGAAACGAAAAAGTATTACCTGTCGTGTCAAAAGCGCTTTACGATAAAATCAGAGACAAATTACTACCTTACGATAAAAACCTATTTTATTTAGGAGTAAAAATGTTGTGTGTCTTTGCATTTGCATTCGCCATTTTTCAGCTGATTAAAATGCTACGTGAATTCGAGGTGACTGGTTTTGTTCAAGTTTTGACCACTGCTAGCCTCGGTGTCATGCCGCATATATTCAATATAGCAACATTGAAAACATCTGAACAAATGAAAGTAGCATGGAAAGAAAAGATGAAGTTAAATGTGAAATACATGGTTGAAGAGTTAGTTCGTGATGATTCAGAACTAGCTCAGACGGAGGTTATAATACCATGGCGAGATGACACAACAAATCAAACGACAGGTGACAATGATCATCAAGTCAATAAAGAGTGCGTGGAACTACCTCAGACGGAGGTAATGATACATCAAGAACAAGACACAACAAATGAAATGACAGATGACAATGGTCAAGTCAATGAAGAACGTGTGGAACCTCCTCAGACGGAGGTAATGATACATCAAGAACATGACACAACAAATGAAATGACAGATAACAATGATCCAGTCAATGAAGAATGTGTGGAACTACCTCAGATGGAGGTAATGATACATCAAGAACATGACACAACAAAAGAAATGACAGATAACAATGATCCAGTCAATGAAGAATGTGTGGAACTACCTCAGACGGAGGTAATGATACATCAAGAACATGACACAACAAATGAAATGACAGATAACAATGATCCAGTCAATGAAGAATGTGTGGAACTACCTCAGACGGAGGTAATGATACATCAAGAACATGACACAACAAATGAAATGACAGATGACAATGGTCAAGTCAATGAAGAACGTGTGGAACCTCCTCAGACGGAGGTAATGATACATCAAGAACATGACACAACAAATGAAATGACAGATGACAATGATCAAGTTAATGAAGAACGTGTGGAACTACCTCAGACGGAGGTAATGATACATCAAGAACATGACACAACAAATGAAATGACAGATGACAATGTTCAAGTCAATGAAGAACGTGTGGAACCATCTCAGACGGAGGTAATGATACATCAAGAACATGACACAACAAATGAAATGTCAGATGGCAATGATGAAGTCAATGAAGATCGTGTGGAACTACCTCTTACGGAGGTAATGATACATCAAGAACATGACACAACAAATGAAATGACAGATGACAATGATCAAGTCAATGAACGTGTGGAACTACTTGAGATGGAGGTAATTATACGTCAAGAACATGATACAACAAATGAAGTGACAAATGATAATCATGGCGTCTTAGGAAGAGTTTTCAAAATATTTCGAAAGAGAAAAAGAAGATAGACAATACTAATGAATGTTTTAGTTGAGGTTATAAGTTGGCGCATAATGTGTTTTATAAGCAATATTTTTTTAGACATTATTAAAATGTTGAGTGATAATTTCTAGGTGAGAACTTGCATGCACATGTGACAATAGTATTGGCTTCACAGAACTTCGACAAAAACATAAACTGGTTATGTAGTATAACATTTAGTCTTTACCGAATGAAAATTCAAAACTATACAATTTGGTGGGGGGGGGGGGGGGAGAAATTGATTTATAATGGTGGAAATATTAGATTAGAGGAAAGTTGTTGCACGATCAAAAATTGCGACCACGAAAGTTCAGCTGAGATGATCCAGCTCATCTTAACTGAGCATGCGTAGTTTCATACTTAAAACGGTTCAAAACTTATGATTGAAGCCTCATTTTGTACAATCAAATCAAAGTATCAACCGATGTAACAGGTGAGGAAAAATTCTTGAATGAAGCGACATGGGCAATTCTTTACGCAATTTTTGATCTTGTTTAACTTCCCGAGTAATACCATGCATAATACATTATATATATTTGTCTTAGAATAATCAAATAACAGTGATTGATAATTGTATATTTTTTAGTAATTTTTTCATTACATGAAGTTTTCATATGAATGTTTTTCTCATTGACTGCTTAGCTTGAGTTCGTGATATTCACTTAGTCTTCATCAGGAATGTTGTATACCATATGTACAAGAGACGGGGGCGGAGGGATTGTGACAGTCCTAGCTAGACTACTAACGGAAAGTAGCCAATTCTTTAGCGGTTTCTGTCCCTGAAAATCACATTAATTCTACTCACCATACATTAGGTCTGTCAATAACGTCTCATTCATTTCACTAAAGTCTTCGTTTGCATGAAGGTCTTTTACACTGCTGTTTGTATAGCAAAATACCATGCTTAAGAGTATACCCAACAGCTAACGCATAACTACCCCATTTTCGACACACACCAGGAGAGGGCGGGGGTTAACCCCAACAAAAGGTGGTCATATGGTGCCAACCTAAATTGGATTGCCCACCCCCGCCTCATATAACTGTTTTACGTTATTTGTGGATAAGAGCACGATCTTACTATTTTTATTGGTAAAGTGTTTGAAGGATATGTTATTAAGAGGCAATTTATGCTGTAACTTAAATTGCAACGCAATTCTGTTTCCTAGAAACAGATCGCGTTGAAGATCAACGTACGTACGCAATTATACTCAACAAAAAATACAGTATAACTTTTAACAGTATAAATTTTGCTTTATGTCTCTTGGTACACTGTACATTTAGTAAAGTAAACAAAGGTGGAAAAGAATCAATGGCTATGTTGCTTTCTGAGAATACTTTTACACAACATTGGCTTTGTCAGAATGCTCCTGTGAAGACTGTCCCGTATAACGAGCCATTGTGTTTGGACCTGGTGATGATCTTGTGATGATCCATTCCGAGCATCAATTAGACCAACTTTATACAACCACTCAGAGTTTCAAATCTTACTTACCGTGTTGATCCAGGAAATGTAAACACTTTATTACGATAACACAACCAGTGTGTCGCAGACGTCACTTAATGAAGGCTGATAGGGCAGGGCCCCAAAGCCAGTACTGTTCTTTGAATTAATAGGTAGCTGGCTTCACTGATTGATAATTGATTGATTGATATTTTATTATCTTTCCCCGTAGAGGCTTTTCAAAGAAAATTACCTAATTACATGCAGAATAACTAATTTATAATAACTATATAATATTAATAATACAATTACAAGCCTATAATATATGCGTAAGAACCTAGTTGCTCAAAAACTCATGCAATAACTTCGTCTTTAAACGACGTTTAAAAGAATCAACTGATTCACAAAGTTTTAAAAAAGAGTCTAAAGAATTCCATAGACTAACAATCTTGTAATAAAATGTCCGTTGATCTGTTGCCGTTTTAAATAACGGAGTATTAAGTTGTTGTGAATTCCTAGTATGATGGTTAGATACTTCCTGACGCTTTATAAATTGGGATGAAATATAAGCTGGGACACAGCCCGTCATGCACTTAAAAGCCATAGTGGCGCTACGATAGTACAACTGAGTTGCCACAGGAAGCCATCTTAATTCTTTTAAAAGTGGTGTAACATGATCATACTTTCGTGCTCCGCTAACGATACGACAGGCAAAGTTCTGTACAGATTGTAATTTGTTTATGTTTTTGCCAGTTGTATTGGCCCAAACATTCGAACAGTAAAATAACTTGCTGAAGACAAGAGCGTTTATTACAGTGATAAGTGTTTGCCTGTCCAGTACATGCTTAACACGATTTATTCGACCGAGGCGGGACATACATGAAGAGATCGTCTTAGTTGTGTGTTCGTCATAAGAAAGGAGAGGGTCAAGAGTAACTCCTAGATCTTTCACTGTTTCGGAGGGGAATATATTTTTCCCAAGTAGGGACAGGAGTAGTGATCCCCCCCCCATATGGAGACCAAAGGGATGCCGCCAAGACGTCACTTAGGTGCCGGATCTAATTAGTATGCAAATTATGACGTCACTTTGCTGGGCAGGCCTGGGCCAAATGTGACAGGTAGCGCGACCAAACACAACAAGGTACTCCTTTGAGAGCCTTCAACCCTAGTGCAATGACGCCATGGAATAAGATCAGGCGTCACTCGGGCAGGCCTGGGCCGAATGTGACAGGTAGCGCGACCAATTAACGCGGGCAAGCCTGGGCCAACTGTGACAGGCGACCAATTAGCACTACAAATAGTTTCTGAAATAGAGGGATTAATGTCGATTTACTATGATTGGAGGTTTGAGGATTTTTTACATTTACAGATGTTGCTAGCGTTCCCATATCTAATATTTAAATCGCGGTCTGCCATATGAAAATTAGGGCTATATACAAGAGAATATGTTGTTGTCTAGGGTTTTATAAGCACAGCTATAGCATTTTGCTGCTATTGTCAAGTGATTTCTATAAATTAGCTCCTAGAGGAATAAACAACTTTTATATTCGCGGTATACAGCTACATGTTTTGTTGTTAAGTAATATATAAATATTATCAAGGGTCAAAACGCTGAGAAATAGCATGTAGCAATAACATTTAGTCTCGGTCTGCCATGTGGGGTCTATATACGAGAGAATATGTTGCTGTCTAGAGTTCTATAAACACATGGAAGTTGGAGGTCATGATATATAATTGTCAAGCGATTTCTATATCTTAGTGCTAGGTTTTTAAAGTACTAAAACTCGGATAAATTCAATAATTTTTCTGATGGTAAATAAATATTCTGATGGCAGCGTTGTCAGGTAATTCCCACGTGTAAAACACACCTTATCTTCTTATCTTTATCTTTATCTTTTTATCTTTATCCTTATCCTTATCTTTATCCTTATCTTTATCTTCTTATCTTTATCTTCTTATCTTCCTTATCCTTATCTTCCTTATATTTATCCTCTTATCTTTATCCTTATCTTCCTTATATTTATCCTTTATCTTCTTTATCTTTATTCTTATCATTATCTTCCTTATCTTTATCCTTATCTTTACCTTCCTTATCTTTATCTTTATCTTCCTTATCTTTATCCTTATCTTAATCTTTATGTTCCTTATCCTTATCTTTATCTTTTTATCTTTATCCTCTTATCTTTATCCTTATCTTTATCTTTATCTGCCTTATCTTTATCCTTATCTTAATCTTTATGTTCCTTATCTTTATCCTTATCTTTATCTTCCTTATCTTTATCTTCCTTATCTTTATCTTCCTTATCCTTATCTTTATCTTCCTAATCTTTATCCTTATCTTTATCTTTATCCTTATCTTTATCTTCTTTATCTTTATCTTCTTTATCTTCTTTATCTTTATCCTTATCTTTATTTTCTTATCTTTGTCTTCTTATCTTTATCCTTATCTTTATCTTTATCCTTATCTTTATCTTCTTATCTTTATCTTCATCCTTATCTTCTTTATCTTTATCCTTATCTTTATCTTCTTATCTTTCTTATCCTTATCTTCCTTATATTTATCCTCTTATCTGTATCCTTATCTTCCTTATATTTATCCTCTTATCTTCCTTATCTGACATGCACAAGGAGCCAAGTTCGATAAGCTCAGAGTCCAGCTCTCAATAACTCGGAGCCTTGTATAGACTGCTTTCTCTCTTCCGATATTAGCTTCCTTATTGTTGTGTTTTACTCATTTGCTTCCAAACCGTCGAACGGAAATGATCAATCTTCTAAGGCACAAGCCATATCTTGAATTTTTGGGCACGTCCGAGCCTGTCAACAACAAGCACTACTGGAAACAGCAAGCGTCGAACAAGTACACTGCCTGTGTCTCTGTGTAGAAAACGTTATGAAAAGAAAATATTTAATGCCGAAGCATGTGATGAAGAAACTCCGACCTTACAAAAATGAAATGCTTAGGTTGGCAGATAGAGGAAAATGTGGAAGAAGAAAAACGGATACTCGTTCAACGTGGTGAAGGTTTCCTTGGACTATTACTAAGTCCTATTTTAGAAAGCCTGGCTGAACTTGTATAAAAGCCCTGTGACTTCAATTTATACATCATTTCAACAATGAACATCGAGAGTAAAACATCTCCGCGACATTGGCGCATTGAAGATATACTTTTGTATCTGAACAATAATGTCAATAGAACTACAGCAGAAAAAATGCTACATTCTATTCTTATATCAAGTGATATATTAACTTGGAATCCTCAGGGGGAGATTGTTTATCATGGAAGAGACATTGCTGGTACTAACATCGAGAACCTTTTACAATACACACTTTTACCATACAACTCTCACATTCCTGAACCACGAGGGCTTGACCTGTTTGCAAAAGGTTTAGTACAAGCAGGGGTTAATAAAGATTTAATTCAAAATGAGTATTTATTGTCAAAAATGGCAAAGGAGGAACATGAAATACCACTATCTGAGAGTGATGTTGAAAGCGAATCTGATGAAGAGAACATGGAATCTGACAAGAGTGATAATGAAAGCGAATATGATGATAAGGAGGATGATGATAATGAGGATGATGGTGAGCCCGAGAAACTACCTTGTAACCATTGTGGTGAAGAGACTGGTCACATTGTATACTTAATGAAGTGCCCAAGATGTTCGTGGAAAGATTTCTACTGGGGCAAAGACGTTCAATGTATGATATGTGATGAACAGTCACCTTTACTGTTTTCACATGTCATTGGTTTCTGCGAGCTATGTTCGTATGGTACGTCCAACACCAAGACGGGTGGAGTGGAGTTCACACCAAATATGGACAAATAAAAGACCCAGCAGATTGGACCGAACCTGACCTAGCGCGAATGACTCCGGAAGCAAGAGAGGATTATGAACGTTTTATATTGAGCGATAGACCGAAATATATTCCAATGAAGCCGGGAAAACTTGCAAAGTTATCCCCAGAAGATAGACAAGAATATGAGAACTCTTTAAAAATAACAAAAACACCCAGACGTTACGCTCTTAGAAGTAGACCTTACTAAATTTTGTAAAACATTTTGAAGAAATAAATGTATTCTAAAACTGAAATACTGTGCAAATTTTTGCCCGCAAAGCCCGCTCTTTCCGCCCGCGCGAAAAGATCCGTGTACAAATATGTTGTACTTTAATATATGCATGCACCCGCAAAGCCACGCGCGTGATTTTAAGGTATACACCGGCGTTAAAAATAATCCCCATCTATCCATCGGAATACACTTAGTTATGCAAATTCGTGTTACCTTAATCCCCTTAATTACCTACACGCCTTTTGACTTAGCAACGCATAACAACGCAGCAAAGTTTAAAACATGTTTATTGATACAAATAATAGAGAAAAAATATTACAACTAAGACTGTTAAATTGTTCTACAGGTTTTTTCCTTCAAGTATTCTATCTGACTCGGTCATCTTGACCGTATATATGTATGTAGGTTTGCTAAATAATGTTGAACAACATGCAAATAGCGATCATAAAAACGGCTTTGACAACCCGGGATTAGCAACTGCTTATTTCTGTTGCGATATTTTTTATTTCTGTTTGGAAACTTATTGCTCAAAACGAGCCATCAAAATTAAAACGAATTTCAATTGCGTGTTGAAAATAAGAGAGGGACTCACAACGTTGCTACATGGTTGTAAGGCAAAATTTTTTCTACCGTACCGGGTTCGAACCGGTGACCTAAGGAATACTGATTTGGTAATAACTACAGTCCTTTGCTCTACCAACTGAGCTAACGGTAGGTTTTAAAAAACTAACTTCTATTTCATACTTTTATACATGCAAACTATGAGAAACCTCTTGTCGTTTTATTACAAATTTGTCAGAAACTAGTTGTAATGCTAATTGATCGCCTGCCACATTTAGCCCAGACCTGCCCGCGTTAATTGGTCGCGCTACCTGGCGTCATAGATTTTGCATGCTCATTATAAAATCCGCCAGATTGTTAGCTGAACAAAGTGACGTCATAGACTTTGCATACTAATTAATTTCGACACCTAAGTTTGCATACTAATTACTTCCGCCGCCAGAGGGGGTCTTTCACTACTGTGGTGTTATATTATTGTGTTCTACTAGGGCTGTGTGTGCTATATCTTTAAATTCTTTCTGAATTGTTTCATTGAGGGAGTTTACTGCTCCGTTGAGTTTATCTGCTCGTGGTAGGAGTAATGATATTATCACTCGGGATTGAGGGTATTTCTTGTGGAGTTGGTTTTCCAAGGTCTTGAGCTTTACTAGGATTTGACTGGCATCTATCTGTTCAAGGTCATTTGTGCCGCAGTGGATGATGAAGGTCTTGCCATTTTTGGAAATTGTATTTCGTTTATAATGTTGATGCCATTTGTGAGAGTGGGGCATCGTATGTAATATGTTGGTGTATCTGGGCATAGGACGGATGGCTTTAGATCTCTGCCATTGCTGTCACACAGAATTATAGTTTCGGCATTGAACAATTTCTTGTTGGTAGGTTGTGTGTTAGTGGGCTCTTCTGTTGGTGATGGGGTGTTGATGGGGTTTTCTGTTGGTGGTGTGTTGGGGGAAGTGTTTTCTTTTGTGGGGGTATTTGAGGTAGGTGGGGTGTTTGTTTCGGATTAGGGTTCAAAGCGGTTTGCTGTGGGGATGATACAATTTAAGATTGTGTGGGTAGGTGGTGGTTGGGTTTCCTTGTCCGGTGAGGTACTTTTAGCTGCCGCTATTTCCTTTACCGCGAGTTTTTTGCTTTTCTCTCTTTCATTTTTGTGTTCGCTTTGTAAATGTTCGATGCTTTCTTCTATTTCTAGTTGTTTCAGACTGAGATCACTGAGTGTTTGTTGTTGATTGTTGTTTATTGTTTTTAGATTGGTTATTTCTTGCTTCAACATTGCTATTTCGTTATCTTTCTTCTCTAATGTTTTATATAGTTCTTCTAACTTTGTATTGGCGTCTATTTTGTATGTGACAAATTCTGACTCCAGATTCGCAATTATGTTTTTCAGCATCGAGAATGACTTTTCTCCTGAGAAATTGTCCGTTTCAAAGTTGACATCGGTGGAATTGTTATCCGGGGCAGAAGTTGTGCTTTGTGAGGTATCTTTTCTCTTTAAGATTCTGTTTGAGAATACCTTAGTGTTTTCGTTGGCTTCCTCATCATTGTTTACAATGGCACGTACGTGGTCGAATTCGTCGTTTGCCCAGGCTTTCGTGAACCGGCCTTGTATTTGAATTCTTCCTTTGGTTACAAAGATTGTGATTGTTAATACGTTTTCGTTTTTGTGAAGGATTTCAATCGAGATTTCTTCGCATTTTGATGTGTTGCTTGCGTCGTTTTGCTCTGTCCATTTTGTCTCAAGTTCGTTGTTTATGTCGTTGAAGATTTCGTTTCGATAGTATCGATGGTATACGGCTTCAATCCATAGAGGAAGCCTTAACTCTGTCGTTTGAAATGCTACAAGATTGTGTTTTTTGTATATTCCAAAATCCAGCTCTTCGTGTGGAACTTTCTTGTAGTTATTCGTGGTGGAGCTCTTTATCTCGTATCGTTCACGTTTGAATGTAATAGCGTCCCTGTTATTTTGCTTTGTCGGTAATGCGCTCGATCAATATTTTAAAATAAATCCTGTTTTCCTTTTTGTTTTACTAAGAAAAGTAGATCCAAGCGTGCTTTTGGAGTTTAGAAAACGATTCACGGTTTGTCTAGCGGTTCTCTACCATAAAATCAAGAAAATATTTAGCAAAAATCGTTAGCTTCGCTGAACACGTGTGAAGCCACCATCTTATATATACGCATGCCATACTCTCCCAATAGATGGTTGCTACAAAACTACCAGATTTTTAAAAAGTTTCATGATGGCAAATCTCGTATGGTCGTAATCATATCCGTTCAACAAAAATTGTCTTGTTAATTTAATTTAGTTTTATTCAATGGGAATTTGTCTTCTAAACAGATCTTAGGGACTGTTTAATTGGAACTTAGCGAGACAGTCTGCCAAAGCAATATCTTGAGTGAACAATATCTTGAGAATACAGTAGATAAAAATTTCGCCACATAAACTTTAACTGACTGCGGCAAATTCACCGTACTTACCGGGCTGTCTTACTAAACGGGCCAGCTCGGCTTCTCTAAAAACAGCACTTTAGAATAAAACCTTTTAGTTTGACTGCATGAAAGGAAAGGCTAGTTCTACCAATTGGATGTACAAAAATAATTCTCTTACAGTTAGCGTACGAGTTTCGCCGCATTCCTGCAAAAGGTAGATGAAGGAGGGTTGATTTGCCACCTCAGAAATGACCTCTGAAATCATTGCAGCAGGCGCATCTTTAATCTAAAAATAATTTACAAATATCTAATACAATTGTAATAATATGGTACAACATAGGTCAGGGGTGGTCATCATCTGAAAGCCCATCTAATGGAAATTTCTGATTCCCTTTCAGCAATTTACGTCTATAAATTCAATATAATGCAACTATGCAACAGTACTATGCACTGTTGGTTAGTGATTGCCTCCCTAAAAATCGAAATGTCAAGTGAAGTGGGCTACATTTGGGTTTTTTTGGCATAACCACAAATTAATAATAAAAATAATAAAGAGCAAATTTCGTTCTAACCTTTCCAACAAATTCCACAAGGTCAGGATCTGCAATATCAATAACTGACACTTTAGTAATAGCTTCTTCTAGATTTCCAGTGGCAATATATGAATAAACAGCTGGGGTAAAATAGGGAAAGCCGGGACCATTCTGTATCAAGCTGTGGCTGATCATTCTTCCGATTATTTCAAAAACACCAGTTAATATACATTCACTACTGTACACTGGGGTCAACCGGCAAACAGGACCAGTGAACAACCTTAATCCAAGAAACTCGTTCCTTGCAAGCAATGCAAAAATAGTGCTAAATGCTTGTCTCAATATACCTCCAGAGTCAATACCTGGTTGACCTCTAAGCTGGACTTTAATGGGAGTCTTTGGATCAAAATTGTTGTTCTTATAATACTGGAAAAAGTCAACAGCTAAATCCTCTTCATCAACTTTCAACTTTTCTGCATTGCCTTCACTCTTCATTTCTTTCTTTAACCGTTTAAGTACTTCTGCCACCGACTCATCATTTTCTGCTCCTGACATAGTAATTTCTGCCTTGTCACTGACAACTTGGGCTGCAATGTGGACATCTTCATACCTCATTAAGGTATCTCTTAGTACACCTGGATCTTCTTCAGGAAAACTGCTCTCAGATTAGCTAGACTTTCATCAAAGAATGAGTCTCCACCTGAGGTTGAATGTTCCTGGTCGTCAACATTAATGATGGGTGGGGTAACGCTGTTGACATTTCTAGCATCAACTGTTTCAGGCACATCAGTGGCACTTTCACTCCCATTAGAGATAGATAGATAGATAGATAGATAGATAGATAGATAGATAGATAGATAGATAGATAGATAGATAGATAGATAGATAGATAGATAGATAGATAGATAGATAGATAGATAGATAGATAGATAGATAAGTAGTATTTAATGAAATGTTAATCTGAGTAGCAGCTAAAAGCTGAAATGTACAGAATTAATTATATAATTCGTAAAAGGACTCTTAATAACAAATACTACATGAACATTTTTATAACTACGTAATACTATATGCGTTACTACCAAACAAATTTTAAAAATCGCTAAAACGTCTAAATATTATGATAATGAGTCATTATAAGCTAAAATACTTGAAGGTAAAAATGAGTTTCGAAATCTCTTAGTTTTACAGTCAATTAAATTGACATGATTATCATTACGAAGAGTATAATTGACTAAGTTCTCACGTCTATCAGGAACGAGTTCGTGCAACTTGTGGTTGGGGTGGAGCAGTTTTTTGAAGTATGACATACATATATCATTTCATCTTTAACTAAGTTTGAATTCCATTAAGTTTCATAACTTCCCGATACGATAGATCGGGATGTATTATTCGTAAGGCGCGATTTTGAATAGGCCCTTTCAAGGTTTATTCCGCCATATTGCCGGGGGTGCAAAACATTGGGGCAAGCGCGCGGCCAAGCCATGGCCACAGAATAAAGAATTGAACAGAAAGGCCACTCCTTTGATGTTTTTGACGCTGCCGCCTTGCACCGGAAATTGACGGCCGCCATCAGAGGAGGAGTGAGGTCTATACCGGCATGCAACGCGGTCAGGCGCGGTTTTTTACATATTATCGATTTCTCGCTCTGCGCCGTCATTGTTCGGTCGGCTTTCGCTGTGTTTACACCTCGAGGTTTTAAGAGTTCAGAAAAGATTTATCGAAAATAAATTGTAAA